GGCCGGGGGGGGGGGGCGGGTGCGCGGGGGCGCGGCGGGAGCGGCTGCGCCTCCGCCGGGAGGAGGCCGCGGCCCAGGGACGCATGCGGCTCCTCTCTGACTTCTCAGTCGGGCTCATCTTCTTCCTGGGTTTCGCTATCCTCTACGGCCTCAAGTGACAGCGGGGCTGGGCAGCTGCCGGTCACCCACCCAGCTCCAGTGCTACGGTGGGATGGAGTGTCACCAGCAGGCATGGCAGCTGGCTGGGGGCTGTCCCCTGCACCCTCACAGGTGACAGGCACCATATGCAGGCTCTGCTCCTCAGGTTGTGACGTTACCCCTCTGCCAGTGTGACCTTCATACACGGTACGTGACCATCAGGCACCCACGTGTGGGCTCTGCTCCTCAGGCTGAGACATGTCCCTTCTGCCAGTGTGACCTTCAGAGACGGTGCACAACCTGCAGGCTCTGTGTGTGGGCTCTGCTCCGTGGGCTGCAACCTGACCCCTCTGCCAGTGTGACCTTCAGACACAGAGTGCAACTGGCAAGCACAGTGGCTGTGATATGACCTCTGCAAGTGTGACCTGCAGACAGCGTGTGACCACTGGATACCACATGTGGGCTCTGCTCCGTTGGCTGCGATGTGCCTCTACCACCTGCATGATCATGCAGACATGGTGTAGGGGCTTGACCGACTGCAGTGTGCCCCCTCTGCTGATATGACCTGCAGACACAGTGCCTGACAGGTAAATGCAGTTCATGGACTCTGCTTGGTGGACTGTGACGTGTCCCCTCCGTTGGCACTGCTGTTTGACCTTGGTGGGAGCCATGTGCCTGTTTTAAGCCCCAGCAGAGATTAAATGGCTGTCAGTGGTGTTTGTGTGCTGTGTGTCCATGGGAGGTGCTCTCACCAGTGCTGAGTTGCACTGAGAGAGATGTCACCTCTGTGCTGTCACTGCTGTGGTTACTACATGTTTGGGGAACTTTAGGAGTGTTGGTCTCCAAACTACATCATTGCCCTTGTCTGTCCCTGTTCAGGGTTTGCCTCGCTGTGTGGCAAGTGCAGAAGTCTTGGCCTCAGCATTCTGGAAGAATGAAACCTGGGCCCCTGGGTGGCTGGTGTCCTGGTCAGCGTGCAGCATTGCCTGGAGGTGCTGCCCAAAACACTTCTGTGTTCAGAACAGCCTGTCCTGTCTAGGGCTTGCCAGGAACTTTGCACAAGACCATCCCACAGAGGCCTTGATGGCTGGGAAGGGTATGCTTCTGAGCACTGAGTGGCATTACTTGTGTTTTACACGTATTTAAGCATCATTTGCACATAAGAGTATTTGCCTATTTAAGTATTGAAGTGTTTTAAGAACTAAAGATTGTGTCTCTCAGAGCTTCTGTCTTTCCTTGGGTGAAGGTTTCAGCTGTGCTATGCTGGTACTACATGAAGCAAGCAAAACTTCACAGTATTGAACTCTGAGTGTGCCAAAGACTTCATCTGCATCACTTTGCACTGGATTTGCTGGGCCTGGCTTGCAGTAGTCTGTGCAGGAGCCACGCCCTTGCCTCTCACTGCAGTGACCCTGGGTTATGTTTTCTACCGACACAAAAATGTTAAAAGCAAATGCCCCATGTTTTCCAGCTGCAGAGTTCTGTGATACTGAACTGAGCCTGAAGCAGTAGCATGGCAGGGAGTGTAATGTCTACTGGTCGAGGGCATATGCTGTACAGGAGAGCCTGCTGCCCTTTCTGGAAAGCATTGTACCACTTCCAGCTGCAGCCTCTGGAGGCTGCTGTGTCTCTGGAGCAAATTCAATCCAGAGGCAGAGCGAGTGCTTTCCAGGATCCTCTCTGGTTGTCAGTCCATCCCTCTGTGTGGGATTATTGTGCTGAAATGTCAGTATGTGAAGAGCAGGAGCCTGGCGTTCAAGGGCATTGGTTACAGAGTGAAAGTCCCTGGAATTGTGGCTCTGTGTCACATACTGATGCATTTTCATGCTATAAACCAAGTCACTTGAAAGACCAGAGGTGGCTTCTCTGGCTGAGCTTGGCAGAAAACATTCTCTTCCAGGCTGGAAAAGCTAGGGGTGCTCATGGGAAGCAGTGGGTACTAGGGAGCACCTCTCTAGTTCTGGTGTTGTGGCTTGCGAGTTTTTAAGGCAGCCCTACCAAGCACGAGGTGTACTCTGGATTGATCTTTCTTAAATCTGTGCAGCGCTGAGGCCTGAGGCTGTGGGCTGTTCCTGCAGGCAGGCTCTGTACCCAGCCCTGAGCCAGCTTCCTGGCAGAGAAGGGGTCTGTTGCAGTGCAGCGTGGAGCAGGAGGAACAGACTAGGTGGTGTGCTGTCTGTATCGCTCTGCCCCTTGACACTGGGACCGGGAACAGCTACTCCAGTAAGCCAGCTGGGCTGACTCTCCTGCTCTGTGTCTGGTGTTTGTGTCAAAATGACACATCTTTCTTTTGGTGGGCTTGGGTGGTAAATATTCCTTGTATTTGCTGGAAAATGGAGGGTAGGGGACAGCCTGGTATTTCACATAGTGACTGCAGCAGGTTGAGGAAGGGGGGGGTGGTGTCCTGTTTCCTTGAGGCCATGCTGGGAAGGGTGGGCATACTGCCTGCAGTCAGTGGGGAGTGTGTAGGGTGGCCTCCATGGGCCACCATCGAGGTCACTCCTGCCTGCTGGAGATATGTTCTGTGCTGCCTCTGACACATGGGGGTTGCTGTGCACTTGTGAGGTACCCTCGGTGCTCTTTGCCCTCATATACTTCAGGCAGCATTTAGTTTTGCTGCTTAGTTTGGTCAGAGGAGGGGAAGCATGGCATGCAGGGTATGGAGTGATGCTTTGGGGCATCCAGTCTGGCAGTTTTTAGGGTGGTATAATGTATACTTCTCTCCAGTGTCACCTTTGCTCTGGTCAGGCCTGAACACTCCTCTGCTCCAGGAATGATTTCAGGAGCTCGAGCACAAAGTGGCTGGAGCTAGTCCAAATGCGCAGCCTGACTGCCAGCTCCCAGCATGCCAGGTTTCTGCCCCTTTGTCTTCTTGTGTCAACACTGTTGTCACTTTCTGGTCTTTCTCTAGTTTTTTCCCCAGATGGAGAGGTGCCACGAGAAACTGGATTTCTTAGGACTTTCCTTTAGCCAGGCGAGCGCAGTCCTTGTGGGGTGCCTGTGTAGCACAACTGCTTGGGGAAATACAGCAGGGCCAAATCCTGACAGCAGTGGTATGACAGCAGGGGCTTGTGCAAGCTGTACAAGCCCACCAGGATCAGAAGGTCAAAGTGGAAAAGGAGGGGAAACAGGGCACAAGTGGGGCTGATAGGATGTGCAAGGCTTGCTGCACAGGGACCTACTCTGTACTTAAACCCCATGTTCTACCTCTCCTGTGGCAGTGGCTGAGCAGTACTGTTGTCAAGAGGTCCATCAGTGGGATGCTGAGCAATCGGAGAGGGCTACAAAGCCGTCTTCAGAGAGGGAGAAGTGCCGGGCAGATCAGTGAGAGCCATGAGGAGTTTGCTTTCCCTCACACTTGCTGCGAGAGGGCATAGGCTTGTTCACTGCTCCAGCACCTCCCTCTGGCAGCTGGATCTGAACCCTGCAGCACAGGATAAAGCTCTGCAACTGTCTGTGACCTTGGCTGTCTTCACACCTCAGGGACAACAAGGACAGATCCTCGGGGCTACTGAGCCACAGAAGGTAATTTCTGTGAGAGACAGAGCCCATCTTTCTGCAGCTAGGGGCAAGGCAGCCATGGGTAGGGGTCACAGCAGGGAATGGCTTCCAATCCCAGGTCTACTGCGGGTTTTGCCTCCATCTGAGGATGTATCCAGTTACTACAAAACAAATCTCAATAATATACTGCAGTCACAGCTGTTATACAGCCCACTCCTGGCCTGTGCCCTCAGGGCGGTGAGGATGGCAGTTTCAGCTGGGGAGGAGCTCACCATGAGTTGTCGGCATCTTGAGGCTTTGCTGGGAGGAGTGTGGTGTTCACACTGAGGATCTCTTCCTCCTTTCTCTCAAGTCCACTGGGGCCACTTTTACGCTTTTCTAGCACATCCTACCCCTCTCTCCATTGCTCTGCAGCTCCACATTACGTCTGCCTTTACAATACGTGATGTATACATTCTGGATCCTGGTTCTTTGCTCTCCTACCCCTGACACCAATTTTTGCCAGCTCTTAGATTTGTGTCACTGAAAGGAATTGCCCAAGGGTGAGTTGGTGGTGGGGCCTCAGCTATCACCCTATGCCCACCCCTCCAGGTCTGTACTGCTCTAGCCTGCACTTTCACCCCAGGGTTTATTCTCTGTAACTTCTTGTTACACATTCCCACCCTTGAATTACTACCAGCAGCGGCACCATGCAGCTGTAAAAGGGAAGCAAAACTAAAACTAAGCAGCTAATGGCCACTTGGTAATTAGATGCTGTTACAAACTAAGTAAATAAAACAAAAGCCAGATGAAGCCTGGTGGCCCCAGTCCCGAGGCCTTGCAGGCTTGGTGCGGACCCCATTCCCCAGCCTGTTTTCATGGGCTGAGGTCTCTGTAACCACAGGCTTGGGGTGCTGAGCTGCTCACCTCTACTGCTGGGTGGTGCAGCTTGCAGGCAGGGGGTCACAGTGCCTCATTAAGGCCTCTTCCCTCGATCTGTAGAAGCTGGGCTGTTCTTGGGGAAGGAAGGGTCCTGGCTGCTGGCAGGTTTTGGGAGTGCCAGCTGGGCTGGGGGCATGAGAGGCAGAGACAAGGAGCTGCAGGCTGGGTGAGCAGGGTCCTGAGCAGCACTGGAGGGGTGGCCACCATTCCCCCCTCCTCCAAGAGGGGCTGGCCTGGAAAGGAGAGGGCTGAGGGAACAGACCTTGGGACAGCCCCAGACCTCACCTGCCCTGGGGTATATCGGCAGAGCTCTGCACCCCAGTCCTGCTGCTGCTGGGCCTGCGGTGGCTCTGCCCCCCCACGGAAGGGCCACATGGTTGGCAGCACCTGTGGAGGGGGGGGGCAGCTCTCAGTCCCTTGAACAGCATCCCCTGCGGCAACTCCTCTGTTAATAGAGTTAATTGTTAATAGAGTTTCCTTGGTTAACAGCCTTGCTGCTTGCACAGTGCCTGCTGCGCAGGGGGGCCCAGCTGGGGCACCGTGCCACCACACCTCGCTGGCCCCAGCCTGGGGTCTCCTGGAGGCTGCCCGTGCTGAGGGCACCCCTTCTTTCCTAGGTGTCCTGGCCCTCCTGGGCTGGGAGCTGCTGCTTACCCAGCCTGGCTTCCGAAAAGCCACGCCTGGGGTAGCCAGGGAGGCCACCCAGCTGGCAGGGCCATCTCCCTGCCTGCCACTCCTGGGTTTGGCTGCACACCAGCTGGCAGAGGGGCTGAGCTGGCCCCCGGCTGCTGCCTGGCCCAGTGCAGAAGTGAATGCAGGTACACACCTTGTGGCAAGGCTTCCTCCTCTTGCCTGGGGGTGAGTGGGGGCACGGTGCCCATCCCCCCCCCCCCCCCCCCCCCCGCTGCTGGTATGGTGGGGTGCACTCTGTTAGACACCCACTGCTGCCATGTTTCCCAGAGGCACAGGGTGCACTAATGCTGCACATACACTCTCCACTGGGGCCACTGCAACTGGGGACTCCCACACCCACTTGGGGCAGTACATGCTCCAAACTGGACAGGACCAACTCCAGGGTCGGAGGAACCTCCCCAGGGCAGGGGCTCACCTTCCTTGGCAGGTTCCCAGTGGTTAAAGGACTTTGGCTGAAGTGGGGTGGTGGCCAACCCAGCAGCACCATGGGGCTGCCAGGGCCTGTCCACTGCTACCTGAGCTGGGCAGGCACCCAGGTGTGCTGCAGGGCTCCTATGGACAGAAAGCCATTGCCATCACACCACCGCCTTGGGGTCCTTTCCTCCTGAGCCAAATGCAAAGGTGGCCTTCCTCTCCCAGGTGCACATCCAGATCCCCAGGGAGAAGCCTTGTGCTTACCCACCCACCCCCCCCCTTGGGGGGGCGGGCTCAAGACTTCATAGCTTGACACAGACACACATCACTTGGGTCCACGTCTCCATACTGCACCCACAGTTCTTGTCATCCCACACAGTGTCCAGTGCAGCCCTTGGGGTACCTGAGGCAACTGTCTGGGAGACCCCAGGGCATTGGGTAGGACAGAGCTGCCTGTGAATCCCAGTCCCCTCCAGACCCAACACAGATGGTCCCACATGGACCAACTGGCCTTCTAAGTGCACCTGCTTGGCCCCCTTATTTCCCTGGATAGTTTAGCCCTGTGTGGCTGGTACAGGAACCCAGCCAAGGTCTAATGCCGTGGTTGCCAGCCTACTACAGTCCTTCCTCCTGGGACATGGCAAACTGAAGAGCCTGACTGTGGCAATCAGGCATGTACTGGCACCTTTTGTTGACATGCTGAGCCCAAACTGAGCCTGATGGGACCCAGGAAATCAGAAGGTGGTCCGTGAAGCCCTGTGAGGTTTCCAGTAACTAGCATCTCCTCGCCTGCCAATAAAGACACAGTGGCTGGTCCCCGATTCATCCTAGTCTTAAACCTGTTTTAACTGGTTATACTGGATTAGTGGCTCCAGTCCCACAAGTGAGGGCTGGAGTTTGGTGAGGTATCCGCAGTGGTCGTGGGCTGATCAGACACTGCAAGCCAACAGTCCATATTTTGGGGTGCTTTGTAGTCAGAGCCAGAGCCTCTAGCTGCTTTGGATGATTTCTAAGCACTCTACATAACAGTGCCAAGCTGCAGGGTGGGCAGGCAACTGGGAAAGAAGTAAAAAACGCTACCACCAGACGGGGCTGAAAGAACAAGAGGAGTCTGAAATCAAATCAAAAGCTAGAAACAGCACAAGAGACACCCCAGAGCAGGGAAGAAGTACCCCAGGTGCTGCAGCTGGAGGAACTAGGCCTATTGCCTCCAGTGCTGTCTCACCATCCATTGCATGAAATTAAGGAAAGCAAAAGAGGAGCACAGGATGAAACAGGGTGAGTTCAGGCCTCCTGCTGCCTTTTCCAGTGGTGGCTGAAGTCAGGGCTAGTGCAAGTGGATGGGGAATGGGTACTAAAAACACTGCACAGAGGCTGACGAGACCATCTGCTGTGGAACCTTGAGCGAGCCCAGCTGGCTGTGGGGTATAACCCTTCATGGGGGTCAGCGCTTGGCTGATGGCACAAGGCATCTCTGGTTACCATAAGTCTTCACCATGGGGGTCGAGGCCAAACTGCTGGGAGATGGTCCCTGACACCTGCCTGGGGGGAAACTCACTCACTGGGCTCTCTGCTCCCCCCTGCCCCTTGTAGGGGCTCTTGCCTTCCCCAGGGTGTTGATGGGCTGAGCCAAGTGCAGGTGCAACACCTGGGGGCTACCCAGGCTGGAGGACCCTCCTTGACTGCCAGTCATCTCCAAGCCTGGCAAGTGTTCCCCCACAACCACTTCCCCTCTGCCTGTCTCATCCTTCCGTTCATAGCCAGAGCCAAGGGTGTAACACAGAGCATGGAAAAGAGCCTTTATTTAGAAAGCACATGGCACCCAGTGCTCCTGGGCCCTCTTCCCTGCTATCTCCCACCCAAGTGAACCCACTGACATCCTGACAAACCACCCGCCCCCACCTCCTGTCACTGTTCCTCTTGCTGAGGGATGCAGAGATCTCCTCCCCCAGCAGCTTCCCAAGCGCAGGAGCCGCTGCCACGGCACCCGCCGCATCCCGACCCTGGCCAAGCATCTCCATCCCCCTGTGAGCATCCACCCCCGTGCCTTCCCAACAGACACCACAGCCCCTCGGAGCTGTGCCTACACCATGCACCCACCCCCACATGCTCCCTGGCCAGGGCGTTCTTGCACAGCCCCTGTGGAGGCACAGGGCCAGATGTGGGGACATGCCCTGTCCCTGCACTGCTGCCAGTGACTCCTGCTTGTGTTGTGGCAGCCGCTGCTGCCTGCGGAAGGGCTGGGGGCTGAGCAGGGGGATGTGTCCGATGAGGTGCAGGGGCGAGCCTGGGCTGGGGATTTCAGAACAGGGAGGAGCTGGCTGGTGTCCCAAGGCTGGGAGATGGTGTCTGGGAGGTGCAGCCGGTATGGCAAAGGGCACAACGGCCTCTGAGGGGATGAGAAATGCGGGCACAAAGCCGTAGGAGAGATCAAAGGCTTTGGGGGCTACTCCACTCTGCAATGGGGCAAGGCGGGCTGGTGCTGGGCTAGCCAGGTCACCTGGGTGCCCTGCAGGGGCCCTGCCCACCTGGCCCTTCTGCAGCAGCTCCTGAAGTTTCTCCAGCTGCGTCCGGCACACATGGGACCGTGTGCGGCTCTGGCAGAAGGACTCCAGAAAGGAATCGAGGGGCAGGTCCTGGGCCAGGAACTGCTCTATCTGTGCCTGTGAGATAGGCGGTGGGACAGCGTCAAGCCAACAGAGCCATGGGACCATGGAGGGAGCCCAGATGGCTGAGCTCCCCCCCGGCCTCTTCTCCAGGGTCTGGCATGCCAGGAGGGCATGGAGAGGAGTCCAGGGCCCAGGTGAGGAAGGCTTGGCAGCACAGGGGTCTTGCCTGACTCACCTCCGACTCTGCCTCAGAAGCATCAAGCTTGGCTTGGAGGTGATCCAGGGCGCTCTGAGGGCTCCACTTCTCCAGGTATGCCTCTGTGTCGGGAGGGGATGGGGCTGCCAACAAATCTCCCCCCAGATGCTCCCACAGCTGGGGCTGCAGTCTTTCCCAGCCCCAAGCATCAGCTCCCCCCACCCTTGAAGTGAAACCCCCAAACATGTCCCTGGAGCCACCTGCACACCAAGGTCTGCATCCCACCATGGCATCAGTGCCAGCTGAAGGCTGGATATGTCACAGGCAGTAACACCCCCCACTGCTCCTGATCATGGCCGGGCCATTTCCCTGGCAGGTTTGAGGGTGCTGAGCCCAACCAGGCCTTGGTATTAATGTGGGTTGCTCTGGCTGTGCTGGGTTTTGCCTTGTCCCATTGGCTGCGCACCACTCACCCAGGCGCTGCTGCTTGTCCCAACATGTCTCTCGTATCTCCTGCAGCTCCTGGTACTTGATGGCTAGGGAAGCCTTCCCGTCCTCCAGCTGCGGGCGCAGAGACAGGTTCACCCTGGCCAGGGTGCAGTTTGACGCCAAACACATCTCCCTCTCCAGCTGCAGACCCTGAAACTGTGGGAAGGGGAATGGGGGTGGGGTGTGTCAGCACTGAGAGAAATGGGCAGAACCAGTCAGACCTGCTGGGAGGGGGTCCGTCTCCATCCAGGGGCAAACCCTCTCCTCCTGTATACTGTCCCCATCCCTCTGCTCTGCCTGAAAAGGGGGTGCATCCTGGGAGGGATGCAACGGCTGGACCTGGGCTACCCATGGTACAGGGCAGCTTACCCTGAATGTGGCCAACCCCGCAGCTGGCTACCCAGCCCCCTTTGCAGAGGAAAGGACTCCTTAGCTAACAAGGATGTCAGGAGAGAGACGCACACCCACTCCCGCTGCACACATCTTCCGCCCATGCAGAGTGGGAAGCAGAGCGTGGTGCTGGGCTGCACTTTGAGAGGCTCTGGGGAAATATGCTGAAATCAGGCTGAGAATGATTTCAAAATAACCTGATCCCATTCCCACAGGAACTGCTGGAGCCGGGGAGCACTCGGAGCTCATCCCAGCCGCAGGGAACGAAGCCAGGCATGGAAGGCATGGGGAGGGGGTCAGGGCCTCCCAGCCTCCCCCGGATTTCGGGACAGTGACAGCAGCGGGGGCAGCAGCTGTGGCCCCACTCTGGGTTTTGGTGACCCGCGGCTGCTTGGCAGGCGATGGCTGCTGAAACCCCGAGCAGCACCAGGAGCCCCAGG